GAGAGAGAGAGGAGAGGAGGGGGGGGGGGGGGGGGGGGGGGGGGGGGGGGGGGGGGGGGGTGCACGGTGACACCCCTCCAGCCCATGGCCTATATAGCTTATAAAAAATTATTCATCAAATGAGGAATATCCACTCCTTGTAATCAAGTCTCTGGTAGATTTGTATGTAAACTAGCAACATACAGTAAACCATGCATCTTGAATGCACACACTTCCACATGCATATCAACTAATAGAGGGCTCACTTCAGAATTAGAACTGCTCAAAATCACAAATAAAACAAAACAAATCAAATCAAATATACTTTTATAACAAAATAAAACATAGAATCTGACTTTTGTTGTATATAATTAGCAGTCAGATACATAGCCTACCACAATTCTGCTTCAATGTAATACTAACTACAAATACTGCATACTACTATCTAGGGCCAATTCTGTACGCACATTGGGTGAATAAGGGAAGATTTCCACACAATTTTTGCACAAAATTAGACCTTGGTTTATTTCTCAATCAAATAATGTATTACAGTAGTTTTTATAGTCCTGCGGCCCTATTTTTCTAGTTCATTCAAAAAATGCAAAACGCCTACCGTATTTGAGGCCCTTCGTACGGGTGGAGATAAGACAAAAATGACTTAATTGAATAAAAATATTAAAAATTATAATTTCTTCTATTTTTTCCCCTTTTTGTTGATTTCTAATATGACATATGTGAATTTCATCTATGTAACTTTCATATATTTGGCACAACAAAACAAAAATAACCATGTATCCTGATTTCCCCTCCTTTTGCCTGCCTACAGTGGAGTGCACCGCTACTGAGAGTTTCAAGTCAACTAGGCCCCATGTAATTATATTAACGATATGACAATAATAACGACATAATCATGACAATGCTGAATGAGTTATAGGCATAAACATAATACGATTGTCGGCAATCGTGAATTTGGGGAAACTGTAACCAAAAATGAGAATTTATATCAATAGTTGCTACGTAACTATAGCCAATCAGAAGACGACTAACAATGAAGTTTGGCTTGGCTGCAAGGCCCTCAGCCAATCACAAACTACCTTCTATGCCGTTTGTCCAATGTAAATAGTAAACAACACACGCCACTTGCAAGTATGGCGTTGGACAGAAGTTCTTCAAATGATAAATCTGAGCCGGTTTCAGGCATATTTTTGTGATACATGTTGTAAGAACCTATAGTATGGTTGTGTCATTAAGCGTAAACAGCTTTAAAAAATTTAAGGATGTGCAACTCTGTGGAAAACAACAAATACGAGTCCTCAGTAAGGCCTATAAGTTTCCGTCGAAGCTGATGAATAGCCTACATATATAACGAAGGGTATCTCAGGGATGGTGGTGCAAGTAGTAGTAGTCAAAATTGCACCGAATCTGTTTAAAGGCTGTCTCTTATACACATCTAGATGTGTATAAGAGACAGGAATTGACTAGCGCATAGAGACCTCGTTTATTTGCGCCATTTAAATCCATCTATTATTATTATTATTATTATTATGTACACACATACATACACACATACACACACACACACACAGAGTATTGGTCTCCCAAATGGTCCAGTTAATTTTAACAATTTTAGGAATAGAAACTTAATTAAAATTAACATTACATAATCAAAATACAAAATCATTAGAATTAAAAAACAAAAACAACAACAAAAGGCATAAAACATGAAAGAAAACAGAAAAGAATCTAAATATGTGATAAAATTCAAAATTAAGAAATAGCACTTTTGAAAATATCCAAACTCATATTGGTTGCATTTTTCCTTATGTCAATTGGTAGGTTATTCTATTCTTTGGCAGATCTATACTGAAAGGTTCTTTTACCATGATTGTTATTCCAGTTTGGTACAATCAAATTGTTGCTACTTTGGCTACGGGTGTATTTAGAGTGAATATTTTTGTTATGGTTCATGATTTTAGGCACATTGTTAATTTTATTAATTACCCTAATTAATGGAACATCCTTAAGTGGTATATCCCATTGGAATGTCCAATGGGAAGGAGTGCTTGAGAAGCCAAGCCAAGTAGCTTTTATCTGTCTCTTTGTTCCAAGCCATTCATTAGCTCAACCCGCCCTCGATAAACTAACGTTACGTTATCTCACTATATTAATTGGATTAACACATTATCAAGGATAAGTACTGAGTGTTTAACACTGGTGTCCTTGGATTCAATTATAGGTAAACGGATTAGTTGCCTTTTTTATGAGGTTTTAATTGTTCTTTACCGCTGAAAGTGCGGTATTCTAACGTTAGTTTATGGAGGGCTGGTCGGCCTAATGTGTTGAGAGCAGACATATATAGAATCTTAATCTGATGTCTTCGTAAATTCAAAGCTTTTTATATAGAACTGTAAGTAATTACACTTATTATATCTATTATATATGACATTTATTTGAGTATATGTAAATTATAGTATGCTTAGACATAATAACTATCATACTGAGCTATTGTTTAGAAGTACAGTGTGTTTTGTAATTACCATTAAGTAGTAATTAACCAGATTACTTATATGATCATTAACTTTAAATTATGCAGTGTCTGAAATTGTTCCTATGATTAAGTTTTGAACTACAGTATTGAACTATTGAAGTTAGTTAAGCTTGATCAGATACCTTTTGATTACTATAGATTTAATAATCATTGACTTTATAATCATTTGATCAGATACAGTGTCATAAATTGAAACTGTTCTAGAATTGAGTTCTACAGTATTACTATGTTATTTTACAATTACATAATGTATGTAATCTGAAGTATTACAGTATTAGATATTTTTGATGTAATTAAGTAAATTGTGATCCCACCAGACAACTGATCATACATTATATTTAATTTAAGTTGGCCTCATTAGTGATAAGATTAAATAAGAAAAGCTAACCATTGGTGGCGCTTTTCATTATGGCTGCCTGTAGGTGGCGCTCTTTATTGTTTACTGTTTATTGGTTATGTTATTATCATGTATTATTTATAATGTTACCTTTATAGATTATTATACTGTACCAAACTTGGTTATACTGATCTACATAGACAAATGATTTGCCATGAACTGGTGAGTGGATATTAGTGTACAGTATTGTTTTAAGTAATACATGGATACAATTTTAACTATGAATGTTGATTGATTACAGTGTAAAGACGATACACAACATGGCTTGACTTTAGTTTGATTGATAATTGTATATCTTTGCTTCTATGTTTTATATGATGATTTACTGTAACACATGATTTAGGTTGATTTTAATATGATTAATAGCATTAATTATATTGTCCTTGATTTAAGAAAACTCTTATATTTCTATGTAACTCTATTTTGTTAGAGGCAAATTATGATAATTTTGTACCCCTTTTTACAGAGGCTGCTTTGCCTGCTTAGTGTTACCCAGACTTTGCTACGTCACTTTGATGAATAAATGTTATGAAATCAAGACGAGTTATCTGTTGTCGTTGTACGTGTCGACCGCTACCCCACACAAATAGTTAGGGAGGCCGGAGCCTTTTACATTTTCATTAAAGACAAGCATAGAGGAAAGATATGATGGTGCATACCCTTGTAGACACTTATAAATAATTATAAGTAACTGATTTCTCCAACTTTCATTGAGTTTACTCCATTTAAATGTGTTCATTATTTCATTTAGTGAGTCATACAGAAAGTACAATTCTACCTAGTCTATTTAGTAAAATTTGCAGAGTATTTAGATATTGTATATTGCAACATTATACATAATAATTTATATTTGATATGCCTATAAATCAGTATGTTCATATCGTTATTATCACTAGTTTTTGTTATGCCTTTTTTATTATTATTATTTTAAAATTATTGCTATTAATAACCCAGTCAGCAGCATGCTGACTAGGTTCTATTCTGTTTCTGAGCAGTTTCTTTCTTTCTGGCAACATTTTAAAAGGCTACTAGTGGCAAACTACTAGACCGATTTAATTAAAACTTGGTCAGTAGGACTAGTGCCAACTCCCATTTCACAACATGGGTTCAAAGGTCACATAAGGGGCATTGGGACCAAAAATCATATAAAAGACTACTTCTCTCAAAAATAACGTAGCACAGTCTTGTAGACCGTGGGTTGAGGATCGAAAACGTTCAATTCTGTGACCCACCAATCCGGGCTACCTGGCTTTTGCACAAAAATGTCAATACTATTAAATTGTAACATAATTTGATTGTCGGCAATCGTGA